CAAGACCCCTTCCGTCGAAATGATTTCAAGACGCTACATAAACTCACCACTCGAAACAAAATTTATATATAACCTAAAAATCTATCGAATAGAGTAGACCTGTATTTGAGTAGATTTTAAATATTCTGTGTCATTAATAGCAGTATCACGGTATAAACATTATATTATAACACATTTTGTTCTTAAATACGTATGAAAAACAAGTTTATGTTTTGCCTGGTTTTATGTAACTTACGAATTTTAACCGTTGCAACATTTTCTAACGCCCCTTGTTATAAACAGCTGCCTAACGTAGTGCCCGCAGTACGTTGTGTTCTTTCTCCAACAGCTGTTTGGTGTTATTAAGCTACGTCTAAATGTTTTGACGATAGTGTGCTGTCAAATTCTTTCAGCCACAAGGTAGCCAGCAGGGTCTTTTGAATAGCGAGCGTCTGGATTCTGGGTTAGAGACTAGCTTTGTTTAAAGGGTCAGAACTCAATTTCTATGGCGTTGTGTTAGGAAGAACGATGATGGATAATATCCAGAAGAGTTATCGTGCTTATGAGCTGAAGACAATGTTATAATCTAGACCCTATTATAAGAAAATAAGTTTCAGTGTTGTAAATTATAATGAACTCTTAGAGTGTTGTAGCTGCAGTGATGAACATTCGGGTTTCAACATTGCAAGGGACGTAGAAATTTAGTTAGCCAATAAGTGCAGAGGTAAGTGGGTATGAACTTACATGGCGGACTGCGAGGTTTCACCTACTTAGACGAAATCTCGCAATCCGAGATCATTTTTGAAATTTGTAGTGTCTCAATTAAATTTCACAGTAAAATATGTGGATATCGAGCAAACACAACGAAAATAACACACGTTATGCTAAATAGTTATCTTTTACTGAGTTAATTCAGAGATATTTATGTCGTGTTCCTGTTTACTTATCAATCTGCTTCAATTAAACATAGGATTATCTTCCAGAAACTTACCTTAACACTAACTGCTTTTACATTTGGATTCCTCTCTAACTCTCTTTGTTACTCTGAAGCAGAAAGTTGAGGTTTAGACCGCTGACTGTCTGTAAGGATGAGAGGAACTTACGTCCCTACTGAATCTAAGTTCCAGACTATTCTTTCTGTGTTCTAGAAAAGTAATCTCATTACAGGGTAATGTCTGTTGCATTTCGTACAATATTTTGCAGGTCTTGGCATCGCTCAGCTAACCATAATATAAAATCATTACTAGAACTGCTTGTGCTTCCTGCAATGGAAACTTCACTGGCAACATACCTTATAAGGCTCCTTCTGCAGACCCTGATGATAAACTGGTTCACAGACCAATGTAAAATTGTACGTATCACATTTATTTTGAGATATTATTCATATACCATGTTTTAATTAAAATTAAAGTTACGTGATTCTTAAGTATGAAGTATAACAATCTTTATGGTCGGTCGTTCGACTCCCGTCAGAGGCATTAGACTCTTTTATCTCCTACAGCTGGGACTCACTCAGCTTCTTGTCCACTGTGGAATTCTGCCTTCAATTTCTCTTCTTCATCTGGTGTCGAGCTTTTGAAATACGCAGAACCTTGTTTCCACATCCACCCATTGCGCTCCAGGTAACAGTAACGAGGTGTTTAACAAATGGGTTACTATACCGTTGCTTTAGACTCAGGCCTGCTACTTGCAATTTCCGTTTTTATATCAGAATCCAAAGGTTCGACACAACAGCCAGAGAATTAAACACAGTCATGAGTCATTTCATCTCCTTCTGAATAAGGTATCCAAAATGCTACTCCACTGATATCCTGGTCATATTCTTTGTGTTCATCTAATCATATACCAAGTCCATCTTAGTCTTTAATATATCATTATTGTAGTGACTCGTAAAAATCACGGTCTTGTTCTTTATAGGCCTATAATGTACCAAATCGCTTGATTATTGCATCTTTCTGAGGTCCAAATATTTTCCCGAGGACTTTGTCTTCAGACACTAGGTCTATTAATCTGCACTGTTTTCCTTCTTTATGGTCACTGCTTTCTCTGCATTAAGTTGCTGTAATCTGTAGTCAAACGTAAGATAAATGTATCTCTACATCTTGACCCAACAACTCGGCCCGTAAGTGTACAGGATATCTCAGCCTTGAACGATCTGTGTTCCGGTAATCCTTCTGAAATAAAACTTGAACCTTGACATACAGAAACTTTTCCCAACCATATGATAATTCTATTCTTCTTGAAGGAATTCCACATATCGGACGAAACAATACTGGGTGTTTACAACAGGCCTAGATTTCATGTGGTTTCCACAATCGAATATTATTGTCTTCAATAGGAAACGCATTTTTGAAATGTTCGTTCTTCCGACAGATTTCGTTTGGACAAGAGAAAACTTGTCTTCCGGGTTTTAAAGAAAAGAATACATATTTGCACCATCTCTGTTTCGAGTTTTTATTGACAACAATAACTAATCATAGCCTATATTAAACTGCATACTTTCCAATAGTAGTTATG